TTTTCTGTTGTTTGTGTGCGATAACTCTTTCCAACTATGGGGTGTTTGATGTAAAGGGAACTACACTTAAAAAGAAGGTAAATCAGTCCACAATAAATAATTCTGTGGAAAATACTTTGTGTTCTTTTTTTTATAGAGTTTGTTAGTTCAGTGTTGTTTGTGGGGGGATTTGTGTGGTTGCTCACAGGCTTTTCTGAGAGTTTAATTGGCTACAAAACAGGCCTGAGCCCTAGGGATCATGTGTCTGATTCTGGTTAGAGGTCTGGCTCTGACTGAATTTACTCAAAATAAACAGGATTTAGGCAAGGATTTGTGCATTCAAATTTGGCCTTGAAACAAAAAAAGTTAAAAAAAAATTGACCATAACTTTAACTTAACATTTTAACTTTTCATTTAAATAAAAGGATAGCAATATTGCATGCTTTTATACAACAACAGAAAACACATTTAAAATGTACTCTTGAAAATAAGATGCATTGCTGTTATGGTAAATCAAGACTGGTTTGCATTAGCATCTATTTGATTGAGGGAACACATACTGGTCACTGGCCTGGCAGTCTACCATGCCATCACTGCCCTTATGCCATGGAGGACATTAACTAATGATGACTTGTGCACTGCAGGCATTTATCAAACCCAGACAGAACCATAGCAGTAAATCAAAATGGAAATGTCTAGCAGCAAAAGTACCAGTGAAATAACATTGGCTGAAGTTCAAAGTGAGAAGTCTGGGTCACAGCATGCTATCACTTTTATGTATCTGAGCATGATGTCAGCAGATCAGTGCAGGTTAGATGGGTCATGGAACCTTAAGTGACTTTAGAACAACTGTGTGCTTTAATATTAAAGGAGTAAAGGAAGTATCATGTAAAATATATATACATACATATATACACATTTTTATATATATATATATATATATATATATATATATATATTGAATAGTGAGGGGGGAAAAAATCTCATTTTTTACATACATTTTTTATTCCTTTACCCCATGGTGGAATCTGGCTTCCATAAATTTTAATACTTCAACTTAAATTTATTTTATTTCAGGTACACTCTAAAAAATGTTGGGTTGTTTCAACCCAACTTTGGGTCAAATATGGTCTAACCCACTATTGGGTTACATTTTTAAATTAAATTTTTAACATATTTGACCCAAAGTTGGGTTGAAACTAGTGTTGTTTTCGTCAACGAAAATTATGACTAAATATCGTCGTCAACGAACCTTTATCACGTGACGAAAACGAGAATTCAAATCAGAGCGTCTTCCGTGTCTGGAATGGATGTATTCTTGAGTCTATAAGGTAACAATAATATAATAAGATAACCTTGTTTGAAATGGGTTTGGCTAAAAGAAAATTTTGGTTTCGTCTATACTACTAGGTACTTATACTATATTGACTGGGTTAAATAGAATTGCATTTCTAAAAAGAGACTAAAATACAATTTTCAGTGACTAAAACTAGACTAAAATGTCATCAGTTTTCGTCGACTAAAACTAGACGAAAATAGTCATGGATAATTCTGACTAAAATAAGACTAAAATGCTCAGACTTTTAGTTGACTAAAACTTGACTAGACTAAAAAGAGTATGAACGTGACTAAAACTAATAAAAACTAAAATGACAGCTTCACACAAAGACTAGATTAAAACTAAAATAAAAACAGGCCGCCAAAAACAACACTAGTTGAAACAAACCATAATTTTTTCTTTTAGCATTTTTTTTTTACAATAAAGCATTATATAGAGAGAGAGAGAGATTCTCTTTTTTAACATGACGCTTGATACAGCAAATATTATCTCTTCCAAAATGCACTAAAACCACATAAACACTTCATACATCATGTAGCAAACAATCTCAACAATAAAAACTCTTAAAATTATTTGAAAACACTGAATATGGTAACATAACTGGATAACAACAGATATTTAAGTATCTTTCAATTTCAAAAACTTAAACATAAGAGATCGAGGGAAATGGAAAAATGAATTCTGTAGTTCACTGTGATGTTGAACATGTTTTGTTTTTATATTCAAAATGTAAAAGTGAGCAAAACAGGCTTTTATTAAAGTTCTGGTTGACTGAGTGACAAAAGGTTTCATGAGATTTGAAAGAAATGGTTATTGAATGCATTTTATAACAAGGCAAAGAAAAATATTCACTATATAATTAAAGGCTTTTCAAAACGTGAAGTATAGTTACTGAGAAATGCACACAACCAATCTATGTAAAAACTGTAATACTGGCAGAATGTACAGTTGCTAAACAACAAATTAGATTAATTGGGTAATGCTAAAGAAAGCACTACATAAACCTGTAATTTGGCCACTCACACTATGCTCTTGTTAAAAAAAAACACAGTCACAAGAATGAGCAAGAAATACACTGGTAGAGCTGCAAAGCTTTGTTTCAAATGGTATTGTAATTTATCTAATTTAAAGGGGTCATATGATGCGATTTCAATTTTTCCTTTCTCTTTGGAGTGTTACAAGCTCTTGGTGCATAAAGAAGATCTGTAAAGTTGCAAAGACTAAAGTCTCAAATCCAAAGAGATATTCTTTATAAAAGTTAAGAGTCAACCACGCCTACCTAAAACGGCTCGTTCTAACACGCCCCCACATATCTACCTCACTATGTGGGAAAATTTGCATAACGCCGCCCAAATGTTCACGCAAAGAAAAAAGGCGTAACTTTTATTCTCACTGTAGTTTTGTTGACGCTGCAGCCATGTCGTGAAGACGCTGTGTGTTTCGTTGTGAAAGCGAAACTATAATGTTCTTTTTAGCAGCATCATATGACCCCTTTAAGTGAAAACAAGTACACATGATCTATGGCAGGAAAAATCAATGATGTCCTGAATTTACGTTATTGGCCATGTTATTCTCATAGCATCATTTGAACACCTCCATCTTGGAGCTCATCAATAATCCAGCGCACTTGAGAGTCAGCCTCCAATTGGGCAAATGACGGTCTCAGCTGAGTGGGGTGGGGTGCTGTTGCTAAGGAAACGCTCAGCAGAGTCCCACCAGGACCACGCAAGGACTCTAACTATAACAATCAGTGTTCTGTTACTGTCTATCTTTAACATCTTACATATATCTCACACACACACACACACACACACACACACACAGAGACACTTTATATACTTGTAGTATAGGCTTCTATTGTTTTATATAAACCTCTTTACAAAAATATTACAAAATACTAGGGCTGCACGATAAATCGCATGCGATATTTCGTGCAGCCCTACAAAATACTAACCCCTAAATATAAATGTTTTGCATTTTTACTACTCTTTGTGTCGCTTTTCAATTAAGGATGGCTCTGAATTTCCCCAAAGCAAAGTTTGGTTAGATTTAGCTAATGTCTGAAGACAAAACTGTCTACACACTAGCATGTTTACTTACAGACCTTTCCATCCATCTTGAATAAATAAATAAACAGATTCCCCGCTGTGTTTGCACTGTCAGTACTTCTTGTAATTGATCACACATTTATGTGAACTGTGGGCAATCAAATCTCAATTTCCTTCTCACATCCAATCAGCTCAAAAGTCTTTTGAATCATCACTCTGTAAAATAACCATCTAGACCTACTTTAAATTTATGGCCATGTCATCCTGTCAGCTTTATATGCTTTACATATACATCTTTATTTTTTCCTATTCTTTGCATGTACCTTTGTATACCAGAAAGCATTGAAATATCCACCCATCACAGTGAGTTATCATGCAAGAACACTATGTCCAGCTTAACAGAGAAGATGCCCTTGGCTACAGTCACAAATTCAATCCCTGACAATCCTGTACAGTCATCAATCACAGAGCCAACTTCAATGACCTACACCCTTTTAAAAATAATGCTCATCTAAGTGTTTATCTACAGTACAAACATCAAAATCTACAGGGTCACACCAAGGATTCTGTGACTTTTTATCTTATAAGTTGCATTTAAATCAAGCTAGTAACTGTTTTTTAACTCAACACATGACTCTTTACATGATATTATACTCTCAACACACTCTAGAAATGCAATAATTTATATCAAACCTGCCTTGACAAAATTTCCCAACTGAAAATTTTGTCACACAAGATGTATTATTGTGGCATATGCATTGGAACAAATCTCTCTCTGTCTCACAGCCATTAATGATGACTTTCAATGCATAGAAAAGAAGCTGGGCAATTATCCAGCTGATAATTGATTATCTCCTGCTGTGTGGTTGGAACAGATGGGCAAGAGAAGCAACGACACATTTAGCTTTTTATTTCTTCACTAGTAGCACTTCTTTTCATTGTAATACAACACAACTACAGACAGAAAGGCTTTAAGTCTATCTAGGGAATCTATGTCTCAAATCAATGTCTTATTGGCTTCCAACAAGCAGTGCTCATATTCAAACAACCCAATGAATCATCTTCAATCAGATATAGTCAAATCTGATTGTCTCCGCCAAACTTGCTATTTACTTAGTTATATATATATATATATATATATAAACAGTTCTGTATTCCTCAATTTAAATCTAATAATTGACTCAAAGGAGTGTGTAGGCTGTGGTCAACAGCGCCATCTGCTGATTCAGATGGTATTGTTACCATAACATTAGATATAGGCGTACTGTAGTAATAGATCTAGCGTTAAATGTAGGGTGTAAATTACCAGTAAAAAGAATGCAAAGCGTTTTAAACCACCGTTTGAAAAACTCCCTCCACATTCACAATAGAATAATTGTCTGAATTATATAATATATGCGAAATATATGCGTCCCTCTTTTAAGATAAATAATGTAATACATTGTAAACATACCGGTTAACAGGAGAGCGCCACATTGGAATGTTCCATTTTTACCTAAAACGGGGGTGCCGGTGTTAGTAAAATACCTTTTAAATGTTTGTATCGCTAATAATAAATCCCCTTTCTTAATTTTCTTTAAAAATAAGAATATGTGTTGCTCAAAGGAGGTATCTAAATAATTCTACCTGCGGAAATATTCATTCGCATATTCAGCACTGATAGAAAGTGCACACTGTGACTACTGGTTCAGACAAACATGGCGCTGCGAGGACTGAATGCCTGCGCTCGTGTTATGCTGACCGATTCTTCCAGAGCAGCAGTGCTTCGAGGAGCCATACAATCAGACTGTTTAAAATGTCGACATGGAGGTAATATGCACATAACGCTGGTCTCTGTTTAGGCTGGCTTTCGCCAGTGGACCGAGAACGTATAAAGTGACTACAAGAGTCGAGGCCAATGTCATGAAGGTGCAGGGTTGCCAGGTTTTCACAAGAAATCCCGCCCAAACGCTACTCAAAACTAGCCCAATGGCGTTTCGAGGGGGTCCCCAGTTAAAAATCGCGTACCGGGTGGTAAAATACACGTTTTTTTGACGGGGTTCCCCTGCTAAAATTCGCATTCCAGATATATATCATATTATTGGAGTCGCTTCAACCCGCGGACATGAAAAACAAACCGCTGCAACAGTGTTAAAGTAGCCGCGGACTTGGCAACACTGTTAAGGAGTAGTTAAGACGGGTGTCCAAACTCGGTCCTGGAGGGCCGGTGTCCTGCCGAGTTTAGCTCCAACTTGCCTCAACACACCTGCCTGGAAGTTTCAAGTATACCTAGTAAGAGCTTGATTAGCTGGTTCAGGTGTGTTTAATTAGGGTTGGGAGCGAAACTCTCCAGGACCGAGTTTGGTGACCGCTGAGTTAAGCTATTCGAACACACACACACACACACACGTACGTGATTAACACCACTGTCCTCGCAGATGAAAATATATGAGGACTGAAGAATTTGCTTCCCAGCCTGATCATGTGAAAAGTGCCCAAAACCAGCTAAAAACCAAATTAGCTCGTTTATTTTTTGTTGTTGTTCAACAGGGCTTAATGGGATGAAAGTGGTCAAACAAACAGTCCCCCTGACAAAGCTTAACACGGTTAAGGTTTTTCCAACAGCTGGTGAGAAACTGACTTGTTTACAAATGCTCTTTTCAGCTAAACGTTATCTCTTGTCTGAAGATGTGGTGAAGCTGCAGGATTTTCAGCAGAGGAAACTTGCTATTGCCCACCAAGTGTCAGGATCAAAAGGCAGGCATCATTTGGCATGATTTAAATAACTTTGTACCTCTTTCTGGTGTCTCAGTCTCATTACTTTAAAGCTGCACTCATTCATATTTGTCTCATTAAAAGAAATGAATAGAACTTCTCAAAAATGTTTAAAAACATCAACACTCACATGCAGCTGCATTCAGTGCAGTCATATCAGTCGGCTAACAAAAGCGGTTTTATTTTACATGAAAGTGGGTTGCCTCATAGGGGCCGGATGCTGAGATCGCATGACCAGCTGAGTATTATTTTATTTATCTCATTATCTCGTTATCAGACAATGTGACTTGTGGACTTATGAATCATGGCTGGCGGTGATGCATGATGCTATTGCAATATTCATGCCTCACATGTCCGCAACTGTCCTATTTGCCAGCACAACATAAAAGGCAATGAGTGCACCTTTAATTGTCATTTTCTCATTTGCCCTGAATGTGACTTTTTTTTTTTTTTAACAGGTTATTACTTTGATACAGTAAATCAGAAAATGGAGAAAAAACAGCTAATTTTAAAGGATGAATTGAAACTACTTCTGTATTTATGCCAGTCTGCTGAAGATGTTTTTGTGGCAAGAAATGCTATGTACAGGTACAACTGCCTCAATAATTTGTCATGTAGGGAAATTAACCCTATTTATATTATAAAGACTATGTTTACGTAAAGAGCAGTATCATAGTGATTTAATTGCATTAAGCATAAAGTTCATCTTAATTTTTAACAATATTTAATATTATTCTGTTTGTATTAGAGATTATTTAGATATGTGTAATGTCTGCATATGGATGCGTTTTTGTATATATGATAACACTGTTCTGTCATTTCCAGGTACCATGAAGAGAATCGTAACATGGCATTCGGGGAATTCAAATTTGGCCCACTTTTCATGAGGTTATGCTATGAGCTGGGTTTAGAGGAGCTGGGAGCCAGAACTCTGACGGATCCAGTACATGAAAACAAACACACATTGTACAAAAGCATTGCTGTATACTTGATGACTATGTACATGAATTATAGTGAGATTTAACATTTTCTTTCTTTTTCTTTTTTGCGTAGGCTCTCAAAGGATTCTTTTCAGACTCCACATCCTTTAATATTGCAATCGACATGCTTTTCATTAAACAGTGTTACAAAAGTAAGATTCCTCTGCTTATCTCTCCATTCTGCTGGTGTATGAAACAATTAAGAAGATTTGTATCGTGCTCCTGTTGCCTTTACTGTTGGCACAAAAAAGTTGGATGAGATAGTGATATGGTTTCAGTCTATGTGATATCACTGATGTGTTCTCACAGGTGGCCTGGAGGTGGTGGGAGACATGAAAAAACAAGGAGTGCAGTTCAACAAAGACACCTTCATGCTAGCCTTTGCTACTTGTTATAAACTGGTAAAGGCAATGTAGAAGCAAGTATTGTATGCTTTGTATTAAAGGCAATAATAATTACCTGGCTTACTTGAATCAGAAAAGACAAACTAATTTCAGCATATACAGAACAATAACAGTTACAACGTGTACAATCTTTCTAAACGGGTACAATCTTTTGGCTTGTTTTTTGGCCAGTCGTTTCTCACTGTAATTTTAGGTCATGTCAAGTGCAACAGATGTTGATAAGTATCATTTATAAACTGAACACGTCTGTTTCTGTATCTTGGGATTGGCAGAACACCCCAAAGTCATATCATATCTGTTTGACCCTGTTGGAAGACGGTCAGACTAAAGGCAAACTCATCCCTTGCCATGCTTATTGCTTTGCAACTGCTCTTGCTCTCAAACAGGTAAGCTGACTGAAATATCGATATCTAATTTCAAATTAAAGGAAACATTTAGGCTATGTAATGCCTTATAAATCAAGTAGTTGGGTGTAACATCAGAATTTAGTAGAGATATGGAGTTAGGATATTGTGGAATTGTCATTGAATCACAGACAATGCTGCATCTTTTGATATATTAACAGTATATTATATTCTGTATGATGTATTTTGATATAACAGTAAATCACTTTCATTTTACCTGATGTATGTTGTAGAATGATATAGAGAGAGCCCAGGCATTCTACTCTCAGATCATGAGCACGGACAGTCGGCTATGCCAGAACCTAAGGGTAAGTATGTGTTTATATCTGAATCAGTCTTTGAAAGAGAGCTTGCATATGTTTAACTGCTCTATTTCTAGGTTCTCATATTGGCTATGAAAGGGTCCATGAAAGAAGCAGTCTCTGCCCTCACAACAGCCCTAGTGTCAAAGACTCCAGTGTTTGTGAAGAAACCAGAGTTCTCTCAGGAAGTGGTGAGATATCAGATACACCAGTCAAGTTTGGACACACCTACAGTTTACACCTCACAATTATTATTACATTTAAGAGTAGTAGTAAAGTCATCCAAACTATTAAGTAACACAAATGGAATTATGCAATCACCAATGCTAGCAATGCAAAACAAATCAAAACTCCAGACTCGTTATATTTGGAGGTGTACCCTGGGATGCATTTTAAACGCTGATCCAATTCATTCATTTCAAAATTCAAAAACAAAATGAATTATAAGTTTATTTTTGTAAAAATACAGCATTTTACACTACCGTTTAGAAGTTTGGGGCAGTAAGATTTTTTTTTTTTCTGAAGGATCATGTGACACTGAAGACTGGAGTAATGACTGCTGAAAATTCAGCTTTGCCATCACAGGAATATATTACATTTTAAAATGTATATAAAAAGAAGAGTTGTTTTACATTGTAATGTTATTTCACAATATTACTGTTTTAACAGTATTTTTGCATAATAAATAAATGCAGCCATGGTGAGCATAAGAGACCTCTTTCAAAACATCTTACCGATCCCAAACTTTTGAACAGTAGTGTACTTTATATTTGTCAAGCATATGAAAAAAAGATCATGAGAAACCTTTAAATTTATTTGAGGGTGTCCAAAAACTTGACAGGTAATTTGTATAAAAACATAAATATGGAATATCGGATCCTCAGCTTATAAAATGAAGTCAAACACCTATTGTAGGAAAAGCAATGATTAGACTGTCCCTGTCTTCGGTTCCTTTCTGCTCTCTTAGGTTAATGTATTGAGGAGCAAGAGTGCTGGTGGACTGTGGGCGGGGAAGGTGGAGCAGGTGGTGAGACCGTTAGAGGAGGCCGGCCAGATCACCAAGCTGACCATCGATGATTTCTTGTGTCACACTCCCTCTAGGAGGAGGAGGCCTCTGGGAATATTGGAGCAGGAAAGAAAGACCAGCCGAAGGACTCGCAGAACTCTGCAGTCCACACTACTGTTAGAGTAAACCCATAGTGTTCAAGACTCTCATCTTTAAGAGTATTATATTACAGGAGCAAAGATATATCCTTGACCTGCACACTCTGAAGACACAGCCAATTCAAGCTCAGGCTTTGGCATCATGTACCTCCTCCTGTTTTACGCCAGCGTTTGTTACCGTCAGTTGTTGAAATCAAGTAAGGAATTTAATCACTTTAATAAAGTGGTATTCTTCTAATTTGGGATCTTGTGCAGTTTGCATTCCTCTTTGAGGAAATGTAAGAAATGTGAATAGAGCAGCAATCAGGTAATGTCTGTGAACTCTCTTAATTTCCATGAGTATTTACTTGTCAACCCTGTTAATTAGCAACATACAATACTTAAAAATGTAAAAACACACAAAAAAAAAAACTCGCTGTATGTCTTCTAAAAAATAAAAAATAGACGCAAGATGTTCTTTTGGAAGATAAATGGGTGGCTGTTTTGTATGTGGTAAAAATGCCATGCATGCATGAGATGTATAAATACATTTTATATTTAATAAATACTGTTTTAGTATTGATTGAGCATTTCAACATGTTGACTCCAGAATTTTGAGTTGACATCAAAATGCTCATATGGTGTGACTGCCTGGGACATGTTTCCCCAGTTGACATTTGAATAAAAAACAAAAATGGACAAATTAAAGTTATGTATTTAAAATTGTATAACTAAGTTAATTAAATTCTGAAATCGAACATAAAATTTTATTCGCGCTTTCATTCAACTCTGATAATCAGGTTTTCCAGTTAAATCAAGTCTCTTCAAGTCTCAAAAATGAAATTCTGTCATCATTTACTCATCCTCATGTCCTTCCAAACCTGTATGACATACTCTTTCTTCTGTGGAAAATAGAAGATATTTTGAAGAATTTTAGTGGTAAGCAAACAGTTTTGGTTACCTTTGACTTCCATTGTAAGGGGGGAAAAAATGCAGAAACAATTATTTTATGTTCCACAGACAAATATACAGGTTCATCATAATGTGAGTGACGGTGTGTAAACGATATAATTTGTCATGTTGGGTAAACCATCCCTTACATATTCTATGTAGTTGTACCACCTACCTTGTGTTGTTTTGTAATAAATGCTCACAGAACAACGCCGCAAATGTACTCTGCAATAAAGTATTCGCCCAACGTGGGGCTCGAACCCACGACCCTGAGATTAAGAGTCTCATGCTCTACCGACTGAGCTAGCCGGGCTCGTACGAAGCCTTTGTTGGGGTGTGCCACATGTAGGGTTTCCCCGACACGTTCCTCCATCCAGCGACTCGACAGGTGCTAGGACCCGGCCGGTGCAGCACAGAGGCTTATCGCTGTCGATGTGCGGTGATCCGGGACCAGACCGACCGAGGCCATGTATGTAAGCTAGCCTAGCGTCACCAACAACACAACGCCCGCGAAACACGCTCATTTTCACACGGCTCTATCCATAGCAAACTCTCGCAGAGGCGTTTTCTCCATCTTCCGCTCGATAACAACTTGAAGCTGAAGGTCAAGGTGGAGGCCGTTATTTGATGTGAAAGGGTGTATATCTGTACGCCTACAGAAAGAGAGAAAGAGAGGGAGGCTCCAGCCATACAAGATGGAGTGCCAGTGGAAACCCGACGAGCAGGGACTTCAGCAGATCTTACAGCTGCTCAAGGAATCACAGTCCCCCGACACATCCACGCAACGATCCGTCCAACAAGTATCCTTTACCTCACTGTTTAGACAGAGATCTGAAGGGGATGGCGGAGTTTCAGGAGGAGTTGGCCTGTGATTAACTCAAACCTTAGTAACGTTATGTACTTGAGATCTGAAACACACGGGGGTTTTATGCTGTTTGTTTATATTTCAGCTGTAGATTAGGGTGGTGTCTGTATGGGTCATGCGGGGAGTGTTTAACTTAAAGGGGTAGTTCACCCCAAAATGAACATCTGTCATTATTTACTCACGCTCACGTTATTCCAAACCTGTAGGTCTTTGTTGTGTGGGACATAAATTAAGATATTTTGAGAAATGTCTCAGCCCGTACAATGGATGTTAATTGGTGTCAATGCTGTATTCATCAAAATATCCACCCGTGAAAGAACGTCATACAGGTTTGGAACGACATGAGGGAGAGTAAATGATGACAGAATTTTCATTTTTGGGAGAACCATCCCTTTAAGCTTTAGATCTGAGCGGGTCCAGCTGTTGTGTGTCAACTGCCTTCAGCACACACACATCTCTGAAATTAGCCTATTTATAAACATTCATCTGATCTAATGAACGTTATGGTTGTGTACAAAACCTAGATTAGACAGCATTTCTTGGCATCGTAGGTGCGTTTGGAACACTCCAAATTGAAATGCTGTCTAGGTAGACGCTTGCAGTTTACGATTAGACGGACCTCCAGCTGCAGTGGCGCGAGTATTGTTATCACGGTGTTTCTGGCACATAATCAGATGCAGCTCAGACAAAGACATCTGACATTCGCGATGTTTTCAGTCTTTATTCCACATAGGAGAGTCAGTGGGTGAACTGTGACGCCCCCTTAAACTAGCAAATTATGCATCGTTTTTGTCCATCATATACAGCAGCCTGTGACAGAAGGAGCAGATGATAAAATGCTATGCATGTTTCAAACTTGTACAACGAGCTTTTACATGTTAATGTACATTTTCTAAATTTCAAGTGAAATGAATGTCAGAACAAATGTATAAGGTATATAAATAGTCTACGTATCATCTATTTAGTTGAATTACCAGTAAATGATTTGCCTAAAGATTAGCTGGTTCTAAACCTGTATGACTTTCTTTCTTATGTGGAACCTAAATGGAGATTATTTTTATTTATATATATATATATATATATATATATGGAAGTCAGTGGTAACCAAAACTGTTTATATTACTTTTTGGTTTCTTTTGTATTTATATATATATATATATATATATATATATGGAAGTCAGTGGTAACCAAAACTGTTTATATTACTTTTTGGTTTCTTTTGTATTTCACAAAATAAAGTAAGCCATACAGGTTTGGAAGGAGCTGAGGGAGAGTAAATGATGACAGAATTTTCGTTTTTGACCAACTGTCACGTTAAGCTTTTCTCTTTAAATGGTAGCTGTGGGGTCAGATTTGCGGGTTGAGATGTGCCAGTGGCTAATAAAAGTACTTAATAGCATCAAATCGTTCACTTACTCCTCAGTGACTCAACGTACCTCTTGCTTTTTTTGGGAGACCATCATTTTCTATGGCCCTGAGTTAGTTCTTCTGTGCACTTTCTACACCATTTTCTCACAAGCAGACTTACTGAATTATTATTTTTTTATTTTGTCATAGATTTTGGTTACTATATTGATGTTTGTGTTGTTTTTAGTTAATAGTGCATTTTCATATTTACTTTGCTGGATGTTAAATTATATTCACACATCATTTGCATATTATAACATTGGGCGTATAAGACCTTAATGGCTCATATATTCATGAGTTCATTGATGTAATCGTCCAACTAAACATCAAGCGGTTTGTCGATTAAGTACCTGCGCAGATGCACATTTCCCCTGCTGTTTGCATTATCCTTTATCTCTGTGGTCTGTATGCCTTTTCCTTAATGTGCACCACAGAAACTTGAGCAGCTCAATCAATACCCGGACTTCAACAACTACCTAATATTTGTGCTCACAAAGCTAAAGACAGAAGGTAAGATGTGGATGTTATCATTAATTGATTGTATTATATTTATAATGTTGATTTGAGATGCGACTTATTCAGATTTATCATGAATATGTGATTTGTTCATTAGTTATATCTGGAGGAATATGGGTCTCTTTAATTTGAAAACCTTAAGTGTGTGTGATAGCGTCAGTGCCTATAACCCTTTAATTTGAATGTAGACATACTGTGTGTTGGGAGGCAGTGCTAGTAGGTGCAGGAAATTGCCTGTTGCCGGTCTGCATTGTGGTTTGTTGCAGTTTGAGGTTTGCCATGACAGTTTGTGTAGTAGCCTATATTAAGAGTTAATCTTATATTCCAATTACTAGAAGAAATGGATCAGATATGAAGGGAGGGAGTAGAGTCAAGCAGAAGATGTTTAGTCTCAGTAGTGTTTTCTGAAGCCGTTCCTGTATAACTGCTGTGACTTCAGATCAGTGGTAATCTGTCAAGTGCACTGGGAGCTTAGCTGCACTGACCTTTTGTATCTGTGTCCTCTGTCAAGCCCCAGGTCACAGAACAGGTTTAGAAACAACACTAGTTCATCTGCCAGTGTTTCTCTCTCTTTTTCCCTTAATTAGCCTGAGGCCCATTTAAAAACAGAAGGTTCTTTATTAAGTAACCACCAAACCAGTTCAGAGCTCAACAATAAGGATTTTTTTCCCCCAGTGTGGGCTGTAGATTTATTTATTTTAAACAAAAACATTTTTGACTTTTTTTTTTCAAGCAACATATATTTATGTGTCAAAATATTTGACCAGCTGATGTTAATATAATATAATATAATATAATATAATATAATAATAGATAATTTCGAGGCTCAACAGTAAGATTTGTAAAAAAATATTTTTTTAGGTGTTGGCTGCAGTTTTATTTTTATTTTCAAAGCATTTATATTATGATTTTTTTTTTATTTGTAAACAACATATTTTTATGAGTGTATTATATTATATTACATTATATTATATTATATTATATCATATTATGTTATATTATATTATATTTGAAAACAGAAGGTTCTTTATTAAGCATCCACTAACCAATATATACATACACAGTATCTCACAGAAGTGAGTACACCCCTCACATTTTTGTAAATATTTTATTATATCTTTTCATGTGACAACATGATTGTAATACTGCACCAGTTCAGAGCTCAACAATAAGGATTTTTTTCCCCCAGTGTGGGCTGTAGATTTATTTATTTTAAACAAAAACATTTTTGACTTTTTTTTTTCAAGCAACATATATTTATGTGTCAAAATATTTGACCAGCTGATGTTAATATAATATAATATAATATAATATAATAATAGATAATTTCGAGGCTCAACAGTAAGATTTTAAAAAATATATTTTTTTAGGTGTTGGCTGCAGTTTTATTTTTATTTTCAAAGCATTTATATTATGATTTTTTTTTATTTGTAAACAACATATTTTTATGAGTGTATTATATTATATTACATTATATTATATTATATTATATCATATTATGTTATATTATATTATATTTGAAAACAGAAGGTTCTTTATTAAGCATCCACTAACCAATATATACATACACAGTATCTCACAGAAGTGAGTACACCCCTCACATTTTTGTAAATATTTTATTATATCTTTTCATGTGACAACATGATTGGAATACTGCCCTGCGGCCTAGTCTCCGAAGGGAGGGGATCATGCTCTGCTTCAGTATGTCACAGTACATGTTGGCATTCATGGTTC